TTCTTTAGATAACCTAGCTGAAACGTTTTTACTGTGAAATTTATAAAATGGGAAAATACAAAATTTCGGGTCTTTTTTAGAGCATTTATCTAAATGCTCACTTAAAGGTAATTGTCTGGTTGATGGGTCTCTTATCTGCTGAGCATGAACAGTTTTTCTGTTTCTGAGTTTGTCACCTGTTTGGCCTATGTAAAATTCTTTGCAGCCGTTGCAAACTAAAACATATAAAACATTTTCAACAGTACAGTCCATATTTTCTTTTATATGAAATATTTTATCCTGAAGTTTTAAAGAATATCCTTCTATTAAATAATCACAGAGGCCACACCTCTGTTCGTTGCATTTTTTAACACAGGGCATTATATTGTTTTCTTTAAATTCTGAACTTATTAAAATGCTTTTTAAATTTGGTAATTGTCTTTTGCATTTTATTATGTTGGTGTTGCTTATTATCTTTTTCATTTTTTCATCATGTTTCAGAATTTCCATGTTTGTTTTAATTATGCCAAACAATTCTCTGTTTTTCGGGTTACATGTTGAAATATATGGAAGAATTTTGTTTTTTGGTTGCTCCTTAACTTGAAGTAAGGTGGTTCGGGGAATCTCCAAAGCTTTTTTAATACCAGTTTTTATAAGTTGAATTGGAAATTTTCTTTTAATTAGAGTGATGGCGAGTTCCTTAAGTCTAATCTTAAGTATTTCCTTATCAGATACAATTGCACATATTCTCCTTGCTAGCGAAAACGGGATATTTGTTTTAATGTGTTTTGGATGACACGATTTAAAATTTAGATATTGTTTAGAATCAGTACTTTTAAAATATACATCAGTGACTATATATGTTCCTTTCTTAATAACCATTACATCTAAAAACGGAAGTCTGTCTGTACTTTGTTGTTTCTTAAATTGTATATCTTTATGAAGTGAATTAAGTATTTTTTCAAAATATAATAAATCAATTAGAGATCTTTGCCAAAATATAAAACAATCATCCAAAAATCTTTTCCAGTTACATTGAATATAATTAGCAAAATCTTCACCTTTCTGTTTGTTAATTTCTGAATACAATGTTTCTTCTAAATAACCTAGTACAAGTGTTGCATATGTTGGAGCAACCTTTGTCCCCATGGCTGTACCTTTTACCTGACTATAATATTGATTATTAAATGAAAAAATATTATTTTGTAAAATTATTTCAAGGCCATTTAATATAAAGCTCTTATCAAAACGATGTGTAATTAATTCTGGGTACTTATTTAACCAAAATGAAATGGCTTCTAAACCTAGTTTATGGGGTATATTTGTGTACAAACTTACTATGTCAAATGAAATTAAGTTTGTACTTTCTTCAACTTTCTTTGGTATGTTATTCAGAAAATCAATATCATCTCTCAAGTTACTTTTAACTTTTCCCACAAAAGGTTTTAATAAATTATCTAGAAATGAACTTAAATGGCTAGTTTCACATTGAGGACCAGCAACTATAGGTCTAAATGTTAAGTCTTCCGGATTAAGTATTTCAATATATTCAGAGGCTTTTGATTTGCATATTTCTGGAATAATCTTACTTTTATGAATTTTCGGAAGTCCGTAAAATGTACTTGGTTTTGTTTCAAAATTTAACAGAAAGTCAATCTCATTTGTTGTTAATTTGGTATTTTTGCTGATTAACTCTTTTATTTTTAAAAAAGTTCCCTTTTTATTAAAATCAGTTATAGATTTGTAGTAAGATTCTTCTTTTAACATTTCTAGAATTTTTCTTTTATAAAAGTCTACATTCATAATTACAATACCACCACCCTTATCTGCTTCTTTAATAATTATTGTGTTATCTTCTGCAAGTGATTTAAGAGCTTTACGCTGGTTTAAAGTAATGTTATGTTTAATGTTTTTTTCTTCATTTAAAACACTTGAACACCAAGTATTAGTTGTTGATATATATGTATCTAATTTTCCATTACGACCACTAGGTGGATTGAAATATGTTTTATTCCTGGCCAAAGAAACATCTTTATTCTCAGTTTCATCAAAATATTCAAGCAATCGTATTTTACGAAAAAATTCTGAAATATCATTATTAAGTTCTCTAGGATTATTTTTTTCTGGTGTTGGTGTAAATTTTAGACCCATCAACAATACACTTTTTTCATATTCTGAAAGTTTTCTATTTGAAAGATTATATATTATTGTAAATTTTGGATACGTTTCAACTAGGTTACCTTTTTCTACATTTCGCATGTCCAGTTGTGGTCGGCCTCCAAAAAAGAACAAAAATCCTCTGGCCTGACCACATCATCTTGTGAAAGTTTGGAATTGTTTGACTTGTTTCGCCATGCTTTTTGCTGTTGTTGATTATAATTGTTTCGTTGTTGATGAAAATTCATTCTTCTGTTTTGTTGTTCACCAAAACTTCTTTTGTTTTGTTGTTGACCAAAACTTCTTCTGTTTTGTTGTTGACCAAAACTTCTTTTGTTTTGTTGCATTTCATTACTGTTTAATTTTGTAATAAATTCTTGCACAAGTTCTTTTAAATTCTCCGAATTTCTTTGATTACTATTTCTTGATTTGCTACGCGCTCTCCCGTTAAACGGTATTCTTTTTACTGCCTCTGCGTATGACATTGGTCTTTCCCTATTTATTTCATTTATTCTACTTTCTTTCTTGAAAAATGGATTAATATTTTCGAATGTTTTTCTAAACTCTTCTTCATAAGCCGTTAACCATTTTTCATTATTTTTCCATCTTTTTAATGATATCTCTTCATTTCTCAGTATATTCTGCTTCCACATATTAAGCAGACATTCTGCTGTTTTTCCCGAACATTTTGACATGATTATGTCCTCCATTTCTTTATCAATCCTTCTATATGTTTCAATGCAGGAAGCCTCGCGTAACCTCATCATTTCGATTTCTAATTTAAAGTCATGAATCACGGCTCTTTCTCTTAACATCCTCTGTTCATCTTTTTCATTATTGAACTCACTTTTCTGAAATTTTCTTGGAATAATAATCGGAGTTGATTCCAACCATCTTTCATAAAAAATCAAAGTGCCACCATTCCTTACATTTCCCCAAAATGCGTATTTCCTTTGATTAAGCTTCTTCTCCCAAATTGCATTCATGTTTGCTTTTATTCTCATTGCTTCGGATTCAAAGTAATCAACATTCTCTTTCATATTAGTATCCTCCGCATGAAATTGATTTGGTATATTCCTTGCAGTTTCGTCAATTCCCTCCATTACTTCTTTGATATTTACCACCGCATTTTTAGTTTTTGCAAAATCCAATTGTTGCATATTATGCCTAACTGCATCCGTAAGGTCTTGGATAGCTGTCAATATTAAGCTTAATTTAGCGCTTATTTCTCCCAACTGTTTGTCACCCTCCTGTATCATAGAAGTTGATGATTCACATGGCGAAGTATCTGAGCTACTGTCGTCAGTTTTAGCCCGTTTCACACTCATGTTCTGTACAATTTTCCGGAAATATATACAAAAAATGAAAACAAGTGCCGGAAAAAAGTCACATATAAATAAAACAAAAAACACAGTCCATGAGTTAACTTATTTAATTATTTGCCAACCGGTTTCTCTTATGATCATCAGGGCAAATGTGACGTCGTCGCATAGTAACGACGACGTTTTTGTGTACACATGTGTACGCATAATCTAAAAATAGTAACGTCATTATATAGTATTAAGTTTTGGATTAAAAACATCAATAAAATAGCGTTCTCTAGATAACCTAGCTGAAACGTTTTTACTGTGAAATTTATAAAATGGGAAAATACAAAATTTCGGGTCTTTTTTAGAGCATTTATCTAAATGCTCACTTAAAGGTAATTGTCTGGTTGATGGGTCTCTTATCTGCTGAGCATGAACAGTTTTTCTGTTTCTGAGTTTGTCACCTGTTTGGCCTATGTAAAATTCTTTGCAGCCGTTGCAAACTAAAACATATAAAACATTTTCAACAGTACAGTCCATATTTTCTTTTATATGAAATATTTTATCCTGAAGTTTTAAAGAATATCCTTCTATTAAATAATCACAGAGGCCACACCTCTGTTCGTTGCATTTTTTAACACAGGGCATTATATTGTTTTCTTTAAATTCTGAACTTATTAAAATGCTTTTTAAATTTGGTAATTGTCTTTTGCATTTTATTATGTTGGTGTTGCTTATTATCTTTTTCATTTTATATATATATAACAATTGTATAATTAGAATTAATTTCATATTGAAATATGAAATTTAGTTATTCGGGATTTTTACATGATAAATACAAGTAAAAAAGTGTTTTTTTATAATACATGAAGTTTTCTATGTAGAAATAATAAATTTAGTTCTTTTTATACATTTAATTTGCTAGCGCTTTCATTGTTTCACATTTCTGCAAACAATATTGTTATCAACGTACAAAATAATAAAGATATGACAGGAAAATATCAACATATCAGTTTTTTTTTTCAAAAGCATTTTATTATTTGCATCCTGTATATGAAAACATGTTATTTTGCCCTGAAAATTAGCCATCTTTAGCTTCTTTCGCGATTTTAGTTATATGATTTTGTACGAATGTCAATATGGCACGGTCTTCACATATTGCTACCATTATAACAAAATATTTCAACCAGCGTTACTTTCTTAAGTTATAAATAAACATATTAAATGTACTAAATCCATTAATACAACATCTTAAAAATGCAAATCTACCCTTTTTACTGAACGAAAATAAGTCATCTATGAGGTATAATGTATCTTCAATCTCATTTAAATCATATCCTAACTGTCGCTGCACTACCCTTCTTGTAGCGAAGAGTAACGGAGCGAAAACGATGTTATGATATAATTAAAGTGGTCAGTTTTCACTATTTTGAAAGTGGATAGATGAAAAAGTCGACATAATATTCTCACATTACAGTATCTATTTAGTAAGTTGTATATCTACTTTTAGTGAAATTAGCAATTCTAATTGTCATTTTGATATACAGTTTATATTACACCTTTTAATAATATTATTCTTTTCAAGTTATAATAACAAAAATAGTAACCGATTTGATAGTACTGAATACCATTGTACCATTGTGAATAGGATAGAGTGAAATTCGGTTTAATTTTTTGTTTCTTCTATTATCCTGTTTTGGACATACATTAACTCGGTGAGTTTTAACAAAATATTCTTGTTAAACATGATATGTAATTATTTGTATCATAGTTTGGGATCTTTCTGTTAAAAATGTGTCACAGTTAAATCGTATACATATACATGCACAATGCGTTAATTATAGTGCAGGCATTAGTTACATTTACCCGCACTCCAGAGCATGCCCATTGATTGGCTCATTTTTGCTGGGGTTTACTTATTGTGAAGGCAGAGAAAGGGAAAGCGACAGAACTATCATATTCAGATGCTCGTTCATTCGTTACTTATTGCGGGGTTTCATATTGCGACAACAGGGAATGTGTTTTTATGTTTGACTATGATAGAAAAGAGAAAGAACATCAAAACACTCGGCAATCTGATTAATACTCGGAGACTACGCCCCCTCGTACAAATCAGATAGCCCCGTGTTTTGATGCTCTTTCTATTACATAACTCTTACACTTAATATCTTATCTTTCAATCTGGATTAAACCATTTACGTTTATAAATATCACGGGAAATTTCAAAATACGTTTTGACTGAAGACCCTGTTGATACTGGTCTGCACTGGTCGCATAAGTAGAATCTGCTAGCTAAGGGTTATGAAATTTCTACTTGTTAAATTTTTTATCTCTGTTATTTATTTACGGATGTTTTGGACTGTTTAATGTAATGTTTTGTTTTGCTTATTTATAATGATTTTAATGATAATTACCACAATGGGAATATGTCCGTCTGCAAGTAATTCTATTAGTTCGTTATCTTTTGCTTTATAGTATTTAGTAATTGCTTGTTGCGTTTTTATCTGATTTGCATGTGTCTTTGTGTGTTAGGTTTTGACGGCCTTACGGAAATAAACTTAAAAAAATAGTTTCATAATATTATTATTTTTGTTTTGTTTTGTTTTGCTACCTCAAAAAGTATCATTTCAACTTTTTGATATCAATATGAAGTAAGGGAATAGGTGAAATAGTCGTTTTTGCAAATATACAGTAAGATAATCGCGCACACAAATGACTTAGGTTATCATATTTCAACAGTAAAATCCAAGATAGGTCGAAAACTATTGAAGATATTCATCAAGACATGTAAATTTTATTCGGGTGGATATATTTTTGACAACTACTGATTGATGTTAGCGGTATCACGGTGGTCAATTTGACAGGCCTGGACTGATCAGTGATACTCAAAATGACAGGAATATTTAATATTATTACCTCTTTTATATATTTTCACTTCTTTTTTTAACGATATAACAGTTAAGTATATATTTATAAATGAAATATTGAGAAATATTGATGAAATAAAATGTGCATTTTCATTTTCCGTATTTTCACTGTAAATTTTTTTTTCACAGCAGTGAAACATATTTTCCGTATTTTTACTGGTGTCTTGCCGGAGTACTTCCTTTTTAATTCAGCCAAAACACAAATTTTAATGGAAGTCTTTAAAATTGTAATGCCAGAAAAACGAAAAATGAGAAAATTGACTACCGCCACTCATAAAATATTTATTTTCACACCACTCGATGAAAATAAATATTGTATTTATAGAAAAAACTTGAATATCCTCTATGTATTAAACTATTTGTGTTGAAATAAGGAATATAATAACAGGAATATAAGTTGTCTATCAAACAGCTATGTTCCATGTCTCAGATGTTAAATATAGGTTAAGTGTTGTGATCTTTATGTAAGTATATGACAATAATTAAAATAAGTTTCTTTTATTAGAATTCATTTGTACATGTAAAACACTGTCCTTATCTATCAACATACTTTTACCTAAAGTAAGGTATTTGTATAATTGTCCAGGAGAAGGAAGAAGATGTCCAAACGTGGTAATTGGAAGAACTGGTATGAGTTTATATTTTCCTGCATTGGTTGCCTTGTGGGACTGGGAAATATCTGGAGGTTCCCATATCTGTGCTACAAAAATGGAGGGGGTATGTATTCTGTAATACATAGTTTTTCCATTTTTTTTTGCAATTATTTGCTAAGTATATAATTCAAATAACCTTTAATTAATCTGATTACATAGTCCTTCCATGAATATAATATCAACACATATGGCTTGACGATTACATGATTACATGTAGAAACAGTATACCTTTTGGTTTCCCGTAAGTTTGTAAGACAATGAGCACGTGTGTGACCCGCCATATTGTTAATCTCTCCAAAAATGGCATCACAATGGGATACACCTCATCAGGTGAAAAAATGTTCTAAAAATAGGTTAGTATATCGCGAATCATCGAAAGTAAGCAGTGACCGACTTCGGTTTTTTACAATAAGCCACCATTTACCAATGATATATAAAGTCCTTGATGTGAGAAACAATACCTTGTAAACCAGTCTTGGTCTGTTTGTTTTCATTTTGATGGATCGTTTATTCCTAGAATTTATAAACATAATGCCTTAAACATTTCATTGACTTGTTGGTTCATTATTTCAGGTGCATTTCTTATTCCATACTTCATATTCATAATGCTGTGCGCAATTCCTATCTTTTTCCTGGAAATGTCGTATGCACAATTTTCAAATCTCGGACCTGGTAAAGCATGGATATGTGTACCATTATTGAGAGGTAAATACGTCATATATTTCATATAATTAATAAGTATTAAATCATTTAGTCTGTATACTTTCTTATGTAAATATTTAAGGCACATTATGACTTAATGTCAAATGTCGAACATGGGTTTAATATTGTTTTTATAATGGATTTATAGCAAGTTAGATGTACAGTAATGCTTAGCATGCAGAAATGTTTCGTAATGGTAAGCAAAACTTAAACAAAGTAGTATTTAAACTCCAATACAAAATACTAATTTGCTATTACTAATTGCCAAAAGAACTAAAGAAACAAAACATTTATCTATATGGCAAATGAGAAATTTTTGAAACTGTAACAATATTCCATAAATAAGTTTTTGAGCACTAACTGAGGCATAATAGGCCTTAAAAGATGTGTTCTTTTTTTTTAATTTATGCACTTTCAGGGGCAGTTAACTCAACCAATAAGATTGTGATTGTTATGTATGCAACATATTACATGTATATAATTTATATCTGACCAGTTGGTATTTCCAATATTATCATTGTTCTATTTTTAGAACATAAACTACATGTATGTACTAGAAGGTTCTTAACTGTTGTAGAAAACTCATGCATTATATTTAGATAGAAACTTCTGGAATGATCTTTATTGGTGAAGTTGCTAGATTATGATTACTTGAGAACATAATAGACCTTTCTGGAAACTTCTTAGTTATTATATATAAGGAGACATTTTTCATTAATCTTATCTTTAAGTCATCAGTTACCTTTTTAGTCATCAGTAATCTTTTAAGTCATCAATATATTTGGAGTATTATTCAACTTGGAAATTAAGTGATTTATTGGAGCTTGGATTATTAATTATTCTTGTGGATTTTATTGTGGGAATTTATTCTAAAGTGTTCTTGGATTTAACTTGGATTTAACTGTGCTTTTGGAAAAGGATCATTCCAGGATCAGACTAGACATTTGTAATTTTTATTTGGACTTCAGGTATTTGTAAAGATAATTTGTTATTTTATTTTTCTTTAATAATTTTTCTGTAATAAATTTGTTATTGTTACAAGTTTGTTGCTGGCTTTTCTTTTCTCGTTACGCCTGGCTCGTAAACAGAAATTGGGGCTCGTCCGGGATTGAATATTTCTTTTTTGGCTACATTATTGGAAATTATTACCGTTTATTTTACATTTTATTATTACCGTATTTACTCATTTGAGTTGATATCATAGTTGTTCTATTAAGTATACCTTTCATTTTGAAATTTTTGAAACACATCACCTTCTGAGTTTAAAACC